GTTAAATCTCGAACACGCGTGCCACCTTCATATTTCTCAACAATCTCTTTTTTCAGTTCCGTTGTGATTCTAGTCATTTTTTTATTTTTCTGTTGCCCTTTTGCAATTCATGATTAATAAAAATAAAATGTTACTTACAAATTAAAATCAGAAGAAATTTAACAAAGTTGTAAACCGTAGCACCGCGAACGTCTAGTCTAGTGCAGTACACCGATAGTGCTACTTGTTCATAGATGGCGCGTATAATTGAATTAAGTCGTATACCGAACAAAAGTCGTATACCGAGCAAAATTTGTTTCCTCCAAACAGGACGTATTCCGAATTTGACGTATTCTAAAGCAGACGTATACCGAGGTTCCACTGTATATTTAAAATATTCAGATTTTCCACTGCACTGTGTTAATCACTTTTGATTCATTTCTGAACAGGGGTAAAACTGACGGGCCATAAATATAATTTAGGTAAGAATGGTAACCACATTTATGATGGATTAGTGTCCTGCACCTGGCATGTTGACGATCTGACTCACAAATTCTGAGAAATGGTGGAGACGCCCAAACAGGGGTCGAACGAATTAAGATCTGCCTGGCCACGTGTGCGTAATAGTCTTCTGTCCCCGCCCTCTTTAGTCATTGGTCAGAGTGGATACAGAACAAAGCACGTGGTAGTCTAGCTTGCCTTATCTCAAACATGATTTGTTGCGGGCCTCAGAATTTTCGGCATAATGAGACATTGTTTTGCAGAGTGAACAGTATGGCGCCGGGCATTAAATGCAAGGTCAATCGCGAGAATCATCAGTTTCAAGAAGTGTGGACTAACAAGTACTCTTTTGTGCAACAAAAGGTAAGACAGCATTATTTGCCTCTTGTGCAATGGAACAATAGCAGTGCCAAAAGAATTCAACCTGAAGCAACATCATGAAAGCCAACACAAGGATTTCCTTCTGCAAGGTACGGAACGCAAACGGAAAATCGAATTGTTACAACGATCACTAATCAGACAACAAAATGTGTTCAAGAAACAATCTGGAGAATTGGATGCAGCTGTTGAAGCCAGCCTAGAAATATCTGCTTTAATAGCCAAGAATGGGAAACCTTTCACAGATGGCAATATGATAAAAAAGTGTCTTATCATCGCAAGTGAGATGTGTCCTGAGAAGACGGTGTTTTCAAACAATCAGTCTTAACCACATGACGATACAACAAAGAATCTCGCAAATTACATCAGACATCGCATTAATCACTTGGAGGTTCGGCCCCCAGTCAATAAACTTAATCCTAATTTGGCCCTTCTTCAAAAAAGGTTGTGCATCCCTGCATAAACCATGTACAGATGACATTAAAATACATTTTTACAAATCTTAAACACAGCGTCACTTCTTGTGTTTGTTCTATGAAATGTTCACTGTCCAAACATAAAAATCATAAGATGTTTGTCATTTATAAATTGTAAAGTAAATATATTAAGCAAGCTATTTTCTTGATAAATTGCATTTCAATTTCAAATAAACTTCATTTAAATTTCATTTTAAAAAGAACCATCATTTATGTATGTAATACAAAACTTCAAAAATTCAGTTTACTTGAAATTTAAAATAATAAAAAATGTACTCACTTCACCAGCACCACTATTTACTTCAGATTCATCTTTTGTTTGACCCTCTTCATCTATTAATTGTGAATCTTCTAACGAAGCATCAGCATCCATTGACATATCTGCACCGTCATCACCACCTTTAAATAATAATTATATTGAATACTTACTTGTATGCAAATATCATTATCATTAAGCAATTAAAAAAAATCATGAAATTTTTAATATTATTTCAATGAAATAAAGCTTGCAGAAAGATTCCATGTAAATGATAAAACCATTCATATCCATTTATATCAAGAAAAATCTGGAAACTGAACAAATGGATTCCAGATATATTGACAGTCAACAACTTTAGAAGCTCAATCTGGTCATTGTTTTGTATGCCACAAGAATATGGTATTTTTGCAGTTGTTGAATATGCCATGAAAAATGGATTGTCTAAGAAACACCAAGTTTTCATATCACTGTCATCCAGTGAAAGTCTACCAAACATCGAAACCCAGCATCCTCCAACAGAAAATTTTTGTGTCTGTCTGATGATCAACGGATATCTATAGTGTGGAGCAGAATTAAACACCAGTACAGGTATACCTCGCCTTACGTCGGTAATTGGTTCCAGGAGAACGACTTAAGTCGAAAAACGACATAAGTCGAATCTACTTGCCATTAGGCTAAACCATAAATTACCAATTCCCGTTCTATATTTTATTTATTAATGCATTTTTAATAATATATGGTTAATAAGGATCTATTTTAAGCTTACAAACAAATAAATTTTAGTTTTTAATATAGTACAGAAAAAAGTAATTTAACTTTACGAATGCATGTACTGTAAATACAGTATATACTTGTAAATGTATATATTATAATATGATTTTATGTGCTTTAAACATTTTTTTAGTGATATTACGACTTCAATATTTGTGGCGGACAGACATAAAGTCGAATAAAATGACTTAAACTTGATTTTTATTTTTCCATATACTTTTTTGACAAACGACATATAATCGGGAACGACGTAACTCGAAACAACGTAAGTCGAGGTATACCTATATAAATTTTTAAATCTTTTGAATTATTTAAAGTGGACAAAATTTTGAATATCTTTTTACAATCATCTGACACATCAAATATCATCCTGATCAATTAATCCAAATGTAAGTTATGCAAAAATAGTCATTTCAGTATTACAAATGTCTTGCCACTAGTCAAACAATCAGTAAAAAGACTGATTCAGCACAGTTGTAATAGGATGCAGATCTACTGCTTCAGAAATAACTTACACTTCATCAGAGCAAACATACACCTGTGACCTAAAACAAGCTCCATAACCTTGGTTAAGAAATTCTACCCTAGTTTCATATTTTCCAGACATCATGCCTTCCAACTATCTTTTCTTTGCTCTAGGCAACTGAAAAGCATTATAGGGTTGGTAGCTTTCTTCACTTCTAAAGATTGGGAGTTCTATCAGAAAGGCATTTACAAATTATTTTGTTGGAAAAAGGTTATATAGTGTATTGATGCTTACTCTTTCTCAAATAAAATAGCTACATTAGAATTTAATACAGCTATGAGGTTGTTGAATAATTGGTGTTCAAAAATTACCTAAAAAATCATTATAAAGGGACAATCTTATATGTTGCTGAGATGTTAAATGCATAATCCAAAGTATTTAAATCTGATTTTAAATACTTAAAGTATTTAATTAAAAAATAAACAAACCTAAAACATTGATATTACCAACCACAAATATCCTAATTCTATTTCATCTTTATTGCACATTTTATTGGTTGACAGAATTGTCAATGATTTTACATTAACTAGTTTGTGCTACTTCTGTTAGTTAAAAATAAACTGGTTAATCTATTGTCTAATTTTGACAATCATCAAACATTGATCTAAGGCAGCTTTTCATTAATGACTTGACATAAAACTTTTACTAATAAAAACTATTAAAACTGAATGATACAAATACACAATCACTACATACCCAAAAATCCAGCAGAGAATGACCAGTACAACCAACCCACCAGAACAACAATTATCTATTCATATGTTTGCAAGAAATGACACTAAAAATATGTTCATAAAGTCAAACAAGTGAAATAAATTACAGTACTAATAATTCAGCCATAAAGTATTAATTTAGCTCAACCTGCATGCTCTATTCTGATGATATTTCAAATGAAACTAATGAAAATCACAAAGGACTGAGTTAGTTTACATTGTGAAGAAAACGTCATCTAGTGGATATTGACATTTCTAAATTCACCAAATGCATAAATTGTGGATTAAAAGCTGAATGACACACACAATTGAATCTGAGAAAAAAGAAGCAATCTGAGAAAAATATTTCAGACAAGATTGTACTAGTACCATTCCAAACTTTGATTTTAGAAACAGTCATCTTGTTTTAAATGAATCAGTCAAAATATTCAACAAAAATAAGAATGACTGTCATTCTTGTTTAAATCATTCAATTTTACAAACATACAAAGTGTTTTAAGTTCACGGGTTGGATGTCACGCCAACTTATGTCAATCAAAACTTCTTCTTCCAAGAACGTCAGAGTCAATCAAAACTTCTGCCTCATAGACTGACGTTCTTGGAAGAAGAAGTTTTGATTTACAAAGTGTTTAACCATACTTTCTACTGTTTTTATAATCTATTTCAATGGGTTAAGATTTAATTTTTAATAAATACTCCAGTCTAATACAGAACACATGAAGCCAAAAATAATTAAATTTTTATACACTATTTATGGTTAAAATAAAAAGCTTTAAGAAATAATTTTAATATTGATAATAAAATTATCATCTAACCAAAATTCACTGTACCTTTAAAATGCAGTCTAGTTTACATCTGTCGAACGTTTTCGGTCTGATTCACAAACCTTCATCAGGATCGAATTATCAATCGAAATATATTTCAAATTTGCATAACGGAGATTCCAAACTGCACGTTCTTCTCGATTGCGCATGCTCATAAATATAATTTTATAATTTTAAAGTTGCCGCTTTCCATGCCGACGCTATTTTGTTCGATTCACGGAAATTTATATTACGCCCTTTTTCTTTGCTCTTGTAAATGTGCCAGGCTTCTGCATATTTTAGATGTTTTATATTTTTCACTTTTTGTATGACATCTGCCTTGCTCCATTTGATGTCGATCTCTGTTGGATCTGCTATCGCGTAATTGGCCAAAGCCGTGACTGGTTGTTTAAAGCTTACATTCTTTTTGTGCTCCTTCAATCTTTCATTTAATGATCTTTTAGTGGCTCCTATATAATATAACTCCTTATTTAGCCTCCTATCATACAACGGTATTCTGTATACACCTGGGATCAGCCTCCTGTCAACGGGTGTTTTGTCGTTTCTTAGCATTTGAAATATTGTCGTGTTTCTCTTATATGCTATTTTCTTGTTGCTTTCTATTCCTATTTTTCTGTAAATGTTACTTAACTGAGCCCTGTATTCCATTACAGTGAACTCCTTTTTCTCTCTTTTAACTTTACTTTTATTGCCTTCTTTTTCTGCTCGTATTAAGGCTTTTATTTTATTCTCCTTAATTCCTAC